GTCGCTACACACCAAACGCCTACTTGCGCAGGCGCCCCTGCGGGGAACTTTCATGATTTGGCTTCACAGTTATTACCTGTCCTAAGTAAATGTATTCCTTTACAACTTACAGTGTCTCACCACCAATTGCAAAGCATACTGGTTTTGTGCATATTAATTTTCACACCTCTTCTGCTTTCAGTGTCCTCTTCAGTAATCATGAGTTGTAATTCAACCCCCGAGATACTCATGAATGCAATGTCATCAGTGAATCAGAGGTAACTAAGATACTCTCCATTAACTCTTATACCTTCAGGAGAATGACTTCACAACAACCTCGACAACGTATATAACTGGTGCATACATTGGCAAATGATCCTTAACCCTAAAAAATGAAAATTTCGATTTCTTGCAGGCGTAATCCATTCCTCTCAACCTACTCAATCGCAAACATCCCAGTTGAATCATCTCTCTTGTATAAGTACTTAGCCAACTTTTACACATGACTTTTCCTGGACTGTGCACTCAACGAATGTCATTTCATCAGCAAACAAGACCTTAGAATTTATGAAATGCCGCCTTCGTCATGCGCCCCAAGAAGCCAAATTACTCGCATACAAATCATTTGTCCAACCAAATTTAAAATATGCTGCTGCCATCTGGAACTTTCATCAAGCATACATCATCAATGCACTCGAATCACTTAAGAATCGTGGCACATGATTCATTCCTTCTTCATATTCATATAACGTTAACATTTCCCTCTTAAAGACTGAATCAAACTTGTCATCCTTCGCTTTTCGTCGTGTTGTCACACTCCCTTTCTTTCACAAATTGTTTTACAGCTCGCTGAACCACCCACCTTACATCATGCAGTCATCATCACGCACGTCATTACGCACCAGCCATCAACTGCAAGCAACCCGTACACGAACTCGAACAGTAACATTTTAAGCCTCATTTTTTCCTCATACTGCCAGAGACTGGAACGACCTGCCTCACCGCACTGCCGACATAAAAGTCATACCGAATTTTTGGTCACGTTGCCAACATGCATCCCACCATAACATCTGCTTGTATTGTGCTATTATGTTAACCACCTCTTATTTCATATACCCCTTAACAGGGTCTTTAAGGTAATAAAATGAAATGAAAAATGAAATGAAATCCCCAACTTCTCCCAATCTAGGGCCCTAAAAAAATTCCTGTAAACACACGGTGAATAGCACTGGAGAGATCTTCGTCTCCCTGCCATACACTCTTCTTTATTGGGATTCTGTCACTTTCTTTATGAAAGCCACTGTGATAGCTACTAGACGCTCATGATGGCGAAGAAAGCGGAGATAATTTGCTAGGTAGAAGGTGGCCGACCACAGTCTAAAGTTGCTCGTAAATTTTCAATTTCCTATCAAACCATCTCGGACTACCTCAAGCAGAAGGCTAAGATCCTGGAGGCAGCTAAGAAAAAAGTCTGCGGGTACGCAGAAAAATTTCCGGGATGGCAGCCACCCGCAGCTTGAAGAGGCGCTGAACATGTAGTTGAATGCCACGGTGACTAGGAAAATACCAGTGTCTGGCGATCTACTGAGATAAAAAGCAGAGGCGCTCGCCCTGTGCATGGGTATTACTGGCTGCAAGTTCAGTGACGGCGGCTAGTTGCGCAACTGCAAGAAAAGGTACGGCCTGGCCTTCAAGCGACTGTGCGGTGAGAGTGGTTCCGTCGACCGAATGCTAGTGACGAACTACCGCGCCGACAAGCTGTGTGCACTGCTGCGCCAGTATCCACCAGAAAACGTCTTCGTGACGAGACTGGACTTTTGTATAAGATGCTGCCCTATAAGACGCCAGCTTTGTCTAGCGAACCCTGTCATGGGGGGAAGCATAGCAAGGAGCGACTGACAGTTGTGGGAGGCAACATGACGTGGATGGAGAAACTTCTGCTTCTCGTGATAGGGAAATCAAAGAATCCAAGATGTCTTAAAGGCGTCAAATCACTACCTGTGTGGTATGAAGCAAATTCGAAGGCATGGATTATGCAAAACCTCTTCGAACAGTACCTTCACAAGCTCAACCAGCTGTATGAACAGCAAAATCACAAGGTGCTGATGTTCGCCGACAACTGAGGTGCCCATGGGCATATCGACAACTTGAAGGCTATCACAGTGGAGTTTTTGCCACTTAACATGACAAGCGCGATGCAGCCCATGGACCAGGGCAAGATCAAAAACTTGAAAGTTCATTACCGGTCACGCCTCCTGAATCGCATGCTGTTATGTGTCAACAGTAACAAAAACTACGTCATGTATGTTCCGACGGCCATCAGCATGTTGTCTGATGCCTGGAAGTCAGTGACTCGGGAAGCAATCCACAGCTGCATCCGCCACGCAGTATTTATGACTGGGATTGAGGAGGACAGTGTCACAGGCCAGGACCTCGTGGTTAAGAGTCCACCTACTGCAGCAAGGGACATTTTGGACGACCTCCGTGCTAGCGGGGTCGATGTGGGGGCGAGTACGTTTGAAGAGTTAGCCAACTTTGACAGTGTCGCCTTGCCTTGCGCAGAGTTGAACGATGACAAGATCGTCCGCCAGGTCTGCGAGCCGGCGCTGGCGGACAGTGATTACAATGATGACGGACCGCCCGCACCACAGCCATCAAATGCGGACTTAGCGCAGGCCATACACTCGCAGAGGTACAGGCCAACGTGGTCGCCCGTAAGCGCGCGTGTGTTCCAACGTGCAGAGACAGTTTTTTTCTGGTGATCGGGAAAATAAAAGTGTTTTTTTTTTTTTGGAGTGAATGTTTTTTTCGAACCCCGATTATTTGGACTTTCCAGCGGTTCCCGTCGAGTCTGAATAAACGGCCAGCGACTGTATCTAATTCACATGAATTTATACAGCGACAAACTAAAAAAAAAACGCCCCCACCCGCGTGGGATCTATCTTTTCAATAAGGAGCAAAGTCACTCGAAAAATTAATATAATGACAAATACCTCAAATATTAAGAAAGAGCAGTAGTAATACAATTTTTATATCATTTATATCTAGGACTGAACGATTGATCAATAAGGTTTCAATTATTAGATACTAAGTTATACAACTTTTTTTTGTTTACTTAAACCCTGAAGTACCCTGGGTATGGGGCTTAATATGTGGTCCTATTTTCTGAACAGGAATAGCTGGAGCCTTTCAGATCAAAGTGCAGACCAAAGCCTTCACAGCATCATCAGGTGCTATGCGTAAATGTCGTGGGAGCTTGTGTAGTGATGCAGCAACAGCAAGGTGAAAACATTATTGTAAAAGTATATGAAGAAAACCCTAATCATTGACCAAGGTGTACGGAGTGGTGCTCTCATGTGGAGGTTTGTGTGCCCTGGGGTATTCCTCGAGTTGAATGCGTTTCATGAACTGCCGAAGCAGATCTCGGAGGCCATGTAGTGAGAAGCACGATGTTGAGATTTGCTCCATCTAGTGCAGCAACAATCCCAGCTGCTCTCAAGAAAAGTACCTGCTCTTTCCAGTGAACTGATTCCATTACTAGTTTTATAGCTGTGCGAATAGCGAAATTCTGGGTGCAGAGTGAATTCAAACACTGAAGTGCGAGTGCGAATCGTATGAATATTTTTCAAATACTTCTTGTATATTTCTACTATATTTTTTTAATACTTCGAAGCGGAATCAGAGAAAAAAAACATTGGAGAGGATGCCTAAGCATATTTTTACGAGATAGCAACATAAAAGAGTCTTTTCCGGCTAGGTTGATGAAGTGCTGGGAGAATGGTCTTTCAAAGTTGTGTTATCAAGAATGAGGCCATGCAGAGGCCGGATTGTATGCATGGACATGATTTGGTTCAGCCAAAGTGTTGTTGACAACACCTTACAATGAAATACAAAGATGCCACTCCCGCAGCCTCTCCTCCTTCCTCAACTTCTGTGGAAGTCAAATTGATGTGGCAGACAAGGGTGTGCTCCCTTCGAGCCCAGAGTTTCAAATCTGCCCCGTAAGCATCAATAAATCAGCACAGGTGATATTGAATGCTAATAACTTTCAGCATCCACCTGCTCAAATTTCAGGACTAAATCAGCACAAATTAAGCACCGCCTCTGCTATCATCTATATGAGACTTACAACCGCAGCAGAGCCTGAACGACAACTTTGCCACTGCACAAGAGCATGATGGGATGAAGCATATTTAATGTCTGAAGGGCCACTGCCAATGGGACGTTGACCGTATTTGTCTTCAAGAAGTTGCAGTTCGAATAGTAAAATTCAATAAAGTTGGTTCCCCAACAAAGTTCTTTCCATTCATTGTAAAATTGCAAATCAAATCGAATAGGACAGACCAATTAGAAAAATATTCGAAATTTCCAACATTCACACACTTCTCATTAACTGTGTTTCAAACACTGCCAAAGACCTCAGAGGCAATGTAGCAAAGAGCACGCAGTTAAAATCTGCTTCGTCAAGTGCAGCAACAATCCCAGCAGCTCATAAGATAAGTGCCTGCTTTTTCCTATGAACCGATTCAATGAATTTTCACTACTTATACTGCCAACTAACTGGCACTTATGACAACCAAACTGATGGTCCGATATCTTATGTAATCAACATAACTCTTGAACCAGAACCAATGATCTTGTACGTTTTATTTTTTAGCCAAATTTTCTCAATACATATTTAGAAAACTGGAAGTACCATGAGTGCTCAACCAGGAGTTATTAGAAAGAAACAAGAGTGTCACTTGCTGAAGTAAAACAGTGCCACTGAAAATGAAAGACCAGTCTCCAAGCAAGACATGTAGGCAAGACATGTAGGCAAGGCACTTTCTGTATGCGTCTTCCTCCTTGTCTGGTCTCGTTTTTGCTGGTGCTGTTCAACTAACAAATATGAACCCACTACTCCAAAAGTACATCTTGACAAGTCACTTGTTGCTCATGCCACTAGAATGTTTATAAAAATCTATACATACTAAATGCAGCACCTTACACATTGTGATTTATAGGTGTACAAAAAAACTTACCAGATTATAAGCACCCAGCAAAAGGATTTCCAGGCAGTTGAGGGACTGCAAGATAATGCAAACATACACCAATAAAGGAGTGCATGTGGACAGTCAGAGGACATGAAGTAGAGTGTTTTGAAACTTAATCTTCACTTTGACTACAGAAGCAACAATAGAGAAGGGCCTCGGGTTAAGTACAAATGCATTTTTTTTTAATTTCTTGCGATGAAATGCAGCCAATGGAACCAGCAACCAAGCCCGCAAGCGATGTTTCTGCAAAGACTGGTTAAGAAAAAAAAAATGCCTTCATGCTCTTTATAGGAAAGTATAAGATCACAGTTCACTTTTTACAATTCTATGTACTACATAAATGTGATGCTAACGTACTTGTAAGTAGGGGCACAAGTCGGCTTTAGCATCAGGTTCACAATATTACCAACAACTCGTGACTAGTGTTTCTACTTGAGCAAAGGTGTGCACCACTACAAACTTGAAGTTGAAAAAGATTATTCATGGATGTGGGAAAGCAACGTTTAGAACAAATCATTGCAATACAATTTATGGCTGGTGATAGGCAGAATGGTCAAGACTCAACAAGAGATATCCTGTTGCCAAGATTTATACAATACTAACAATCTCTTGAAATGGCAAGAAAAAAGCAAAGCACAGCCAACCTTTCGCAGGTCCCTCCTGTGCACACTGCTGAGGTAGTGGCCAATCACGCATGGAAGGAAGTAGTGAGCGAACTGACGCAATGCCTCTTCCTGGGCTTGAAAGAAGATGAACAGCTGCTCGCACAGGGGCTCCAGAAACTGCGAAAGGAGATTTTAATGCAATAACATTACAGAGCTCATTTTGCAGAAATACCGGCGTCGATGTATTGATTGCGAGTAAAACATCATTATCTTGTCTGTGACCGAAAAACAGAGAAAGATGCGAACAAAATAAAAATTTTAATTTTCGGCTCGGAATGAAGAACGAACCCAGGTTGTTTACATGGCAAGCAGATGTTTTCCCACACAGCCACGCTTCTGCTTGGAAATGCAGTGAAAGTAATGTTAATGCTTTCCAATACAACACAATACAACAGGCAATTTCGCAGTAATATTGCGGGGTACAAGCGTACATTGCCATTGGACGTCAGAACATGTGATTATAATAAATACTGGGGTTTAAAGCCAGCCACCCATTACAAATGGCACACACGTACGTTACAGAGCATATTGCCTTAAAATGCATAGCAAGCTCAAAAACTTTCCATGTGCATAATTGCTCGTGAATGCTACCTCTTACACAGAATGCAGCCATGTGCAAAAGCTTCACTGACAAGCCAATTTTAACTTCCAGTAACATCACGCAATAATAAGTATGCACTAAATCATTGAAATGTGCACTAGGAACAGCATATCTCTATCGCATTCAACTCTTAAAGGCAACTTAGAATTTTCGAAAATGATTAAGAATGCTGCTCTGTCAAACTCTGGCCCCCTTTAGATCATCTGGGCTTGTATAACACACAGCAAAAGCTTGGGCCGGTTGGTTTGTCATTATTGGGTGTACAGTCACCAGCAAGCTTAACACAAAGGCTCCGCAGCAAGTCCTGAAACAGTTTGATTGATGCTAGCGCCGCGTAGCTATGGGTTTTGTTGCCAAAACGTTACCCATGCATGCCGATGTACTATCCGAGAATACCGAGGCATTATCTTAGCACCAGCACCCAGCGCTTGGCGGCTGGCACCAGCCTATAAAATAGTCCAGGCCAAGCGTCGGAGCGTTCGTGTTAAGCTTGCTGATGTCTAAAAAACAGGAAGAGACTATGTAACTCCAGGGGCCCCCTACGTGTTACAACATAGTTTCTTCTTGTGTCCGTGTCCTTTATGCACAACCTTATAACCTCTAACACCAAAAGCCTGTATGAAACAACCTTGGCTGAAAATTGAACCCACAACCTCTTGCTTTGCAACTGTACGTACGTCACTGAGCCACCCTGACATTAAACGAAATAAAATACTGCCAAACTAGAAAAGTCAAACTGCGAACACCACCACAAGCAATTTTTTTATTCCCTCAATCAGGCCACTCTGAATTTCTCAGGCTATCAAAAAGTTTGATAAAGCTCCTTGCTTTCTGAATTATTACAAGGACAGAAAAAATACTATTGTAAGATTTCAAGTTCAGTCAATAAGTTGGTCACTTAATACAGCAATCAAGTACAAAGCTCACACATTGTTTCTTGACAGCCTTTGTTTACTGCTACAGAGCTTCAAGAACAGCAGAACATGAGCTTTTACAAATGCTCACTTCCTGTAAGAACTGCAAGCACGATGAAAATAAACAGACGTCCCTTCCCCTCTTTTTTCTTGCAGTGGACTGGTCATTTCAAAATGTGGAAATGACAAGAAGTCCACAAACAGATATTCTCCTACGATATCTAAGCTAGGTAAAAACACAGCAGTGAAGGTAATTAGTTCGGTAACACAGCTGTGTAACGTTTAATATGCACTGTTTCACCTTTTACAATGTGTGACCAACTGATTGATATGTGGGGTTTAACATCCCAAAACCACCATATGATTATGAGAGACGCCGTAGTGGAGGGCTACGGAAATTTCGACCACCTGGGGTTCTTTAACGTGCACCCAAATCTGAGCACACGGGCCTACAACATTTCCGCCTCCATCGGAAATGCAGCCGCCGCAGCCAGGATTCGATTCCGTGACCTGCAGGTCAGCAGCCGAGTATCTTAGGCACTAGACCACCGTGACGGGGTGACATGTGACCAACTAGCCGAACGAATCACACCTCTGGAATTTGTGTCAAAGCTAGATCAATATTCCAGAGCTCATCCCAATTTGTGTTGTGAAAACAACAGCCTGTGGCTCAGTGGTACCAATCACACATCAATATTACCAGCCCGTGAGTTAATTTTCTCCTCCTCGACTAGCTTCAACACTAGCTAAGGAGGGAAGATGTTTGAGGTTTGGAATTGGGTCCCCTCGATGACTCGAGTGCACGGTGGCAGCGCGAAGGAAGAGCCGTAGTCCGGTGAAGAGACGCTTTATTGCAGCCTCAGGCTACTGCCCGAGTCCAAGCCCGAACCTCCGCTATCTTCCCTCCTTAGCTAGTGTTGAAGCTAGTCGAGGAGGAGGAAATTAACTGGCGCAGTCGACAGGATATTAACTGGCGCAGCCGACAGAAAATTAACTGGCGCAGTCGACGTGGAGTGGAGAGCCCGGAGCGAGGAAGGCGCTGAAGTCCGGGAAGCTGAGAAGACGCTCATCGCTTCGGGATCTGCTGTTGCGCTGCGAGAAGCAGCATTGACATTCGGTACAAGCCTGCCGGTCAACATTGGAGCGGATGTTCGGGCTTGGACTCGGGCAGTAGCCTGAGGCCGCAATAAAGCGTCTCTTCACCGGACTACGGCTCTTCCTTCGCGCTGCCACCGTGCACTCGAGTCATCGAGAGGACCCATTCCGAACCTCAAACATCTTCCCTCCTTAGCTAGTATTGAAACTAGTCGAGGAGGAGGAAATTAACTCCGTGCATCAGTGAATGAGGCCACAAAACTTGCAGTAATGACACAGACTGGCTGAGTGTGTTGCAAGTGATGCATTTTTCAGTTTATAAAACACAATTTTTTCAGATATTTTTGCTGTTGCATCTCATACAACGGTGCATCTTAAATGTATACGCAAAAAAGAACGTGTTTCTCCGGGACCACTATGTTGATATTTCATTCCCAATTACAATAAACCAAGCACGAGAGCATTCGTAAAAAGATGTATAATCTTGCGATAACATTAGAGCAAGTGTGGTCTCGGATGTCAGCCGTTCAAGCGCTGCGGCGACAACGGAGGTTAATGTCGCAATAACAGGCACAGTCATCACAAAACTATTGTATTGTTTTAATTGTTCCTTGAACGAATAAATTAATCAACGGAACACAGGCAATAAATAAAGAATGTTTTATTCTAATGTCGTAGTGCCCAAATACCGGTTACTGAAACGAAAGTATTACCCTGCTGTCATCGTCAGGTTCCATGTAAGGCATTGCTGTAGTCCTGCAGTAATCCGAGCTTTCAGCTTCCAGTTGCCATTTATGTAACGTTTGTGCGTGTGTAGGTGTCAAATGCGCAACACAATCGTCAAGCCTTATAATGACAAAGAAGCAATGCCAATGATGTGCTGCAAAGTGCTTTCAACGCCACCCGCGTCAGAGTTATTCAGAGGCCGACAACAGCAAGCCCATGATGCTGCCAACCACGGTGGAAGAACGTTTGACAGTGCACCAGAAGATTTACCTTTGAATCAAGTGGAATAAATATTGGTTTTTTGTGCCTCAAGGCAGTGTTATTTACAAGTTTTATGTTGCTGTAAAAGGAATGTACCCTGCACACGTCATTGAGTTCTATCATTCTGACAGCATCAAAAAATATGTGTGTCTTATGCAAAGGTGCGCATGATATATCATTTTCTTCCACGAGAGTAGTAAAAAATAGATAAATATTGCAAATGAGTTCTGTAGAAACCCGCAAGGTGGTGAAAGGTTTTAAGAAAGGGAAAAAAGACAACCACCTGTTTGTAGCACGAAGCTTGTGGTTTTGTGCTACAAGCAGGTGGCTGTCTTCTTTCCCTGTCTCAAAAAGTAGGGAGTGCGTCTTGTACAAAGTTGCGACTTATGCGCTAGAAAATGATGTATACAAATTAACGTGACCATTCTAAAATGCAGGAAATAGAAATATCATTTATAAAGGGGTTCAAATACTATAAGCACTTACATCCACCATGCAGCTAAGCAATGTACATTGTACCAATATATGTATTTCATGCTTACAGGCAAGGTGATGTAAGCAGCAAAACAAGATACAATACTTAGTGAGAACAGAATACACAAAGCATTAGCAGCATAAGGTACATCAAATAAGAGAATTATGAATGCCAGTGCATAGAAAACAGATAAAAATGTTTTTTTTTTGTTTTCATGCAAGTGATGCCTCTTGATTTCAACTGAAGAGGTGAAACTGCTTTACTATCTTGTCTTGTTCACAGATTTATCTCGGTCTTCCTGAAACTATAATTTGAAGCTGCATACAGGGAAAACCACTCATAAGATGAACTGAAATAACCCCCTACTTAAAGACTGCCTCTTGCATTGTCTAAAACATACCATGTTTTGCTCGTTAAATGAATATTTATACTATTATTTCCTCACTCAAAATTACTTATGGCCCCTCGCGTGGCAAAGGAGTAAATATGCACTTTTACGCCATCGTGTGACCTTTTACTGGTGTGCACCTTTAATTGTTTCAATAATAGCCAAGGAGGCTTATACCGGTGTCACACTGCCGCTTTTGATCGCGATCGAGCTTGATCCGGTTCAAATTTTCGTGATCTTGATTGGCTCCTTTACGCGAGCTGCCAAATCCCCAGCCAATCACAGTTTATAAATTCTGTCCCGATGAGGCTTAAATGCAATCAACAGTTCAACGTGTGACACAGGTATTAAAAAAAAAAATTTGGTTCCAATTCTGAAATGTTACACCGCAAACTTCGTCAAAAGACTATAGTCTTGCGTCTGGAGAGAGTGAACAAAACGTTTATTTGATGTTCTGCGCAAGAAAATTGCTGAATGGTATTCTGCAGGCACTGCATTAGAGTGCCTCGAGCGTGTAGCGGAGGCGAACGAGCACATCGAGGCACGTAAGACACAAGTGCCATCTGGCAGTTATCTACGGAAACGAAGGCGTGCAGTCCGCTGAGAAAGATGCGCGCCAGTCTCGCAGGTGATAAAGTGTAGAACGCAAAGCGACGGGCAGGTGCCATCACCATGAAGTCCTAGCAAAGCATTGGAAACACCTTTTTGAGCATCGCGTTGCACTGTCAGCGCAGCGCGATTAAACACTACGTTACTTAGAGTTACTTGTGTGTGCCTCTTCTAGTATAAAGGCAGACATACAAAACATCGAAGCTTTGTTGTGGTGCATCAGATATGCGCAATAATTGCTTTTTAATTGACAACCGCACAACTATGAATGCTAAGCCTTGAGCAATATTGGTGGGCACTGCAGATGGGGTTGGCCGTTTGGTGTTGTTTGAGGTATCGTTAGGGCGGACAAACAGACAAATGTACAGACAAATAGACCAAAATTTTTTCGTCGAAGGTCCCCAAGAAAGACTATCGTCTTTAAAAATCCGGAGGGGAAATTAGTGCCCAGGAGTGAAGCCGTGCCTATGGCAAGACAGCAGCTGCAGCAGCCATATTACTACGGGCATAATAAACTATCAACAATCAGCAATTAAAAAAAATTGGGGGACCCTTAAGCTTCGCCTTTAAGAGTTGAACGCGTTAGCAAAATCCGGCTCCTAGTGCACCCTTCAACCTTTAAGTGCATACTTATTCACGTTTTGTTACACACACATGCACACGCACACAGTAGACTGGACCAGCGCGTGCTATTATCGCCGAATGGGCTCGTTTATGTCGTGACACCTGTCAAACAAAATGCGTTAAAGGGGCCATGAGCATTTTTTCAAGTAACCATGGAATGAATTCACTAGAAGAGCTTATTGCCTCACGAATTCAACGCCGCAAAAATTTTAAGAATCCGTCCAGTGTGAGTGGAGTTACAAAGGTTAGTCGCATGCTGCAATTGCATTATCTCTTCTCTCGTCCCGACGAAAGCGCTGCAAGCTAAGCAGGGAGGGGTGGCAGGCAAAGAAACTACCGCGCCTCGTGACCTTGAGCACTTTTTATCTTCAAACGGGGGACTTTTCAGTGTGATCGCGCGCGCACGCGTAGACAAGTAACGGCCTCCCACGGCTATCGCGGTAACATGATTTTTCGGTCACAGACGTACAGACGATTTTTCGCTCACAACCAACGGCGCCGACGCCGGCTACGGGTTTTCTGCAACACGAGCTCTTTAACGCTATCGTGTTAAAATGAAGCATTTCCTTCCGGCGCCAAACAAGTTTAATGTAGAAACTTTTTTGAGTCACATAGTGCTCCAAGTACGTCTTAGTGTTACTAGTTCTCCTTCATAAGCCTCTAATTGGAGGAAAAGTTCATTGGAGATTCAGTCGCCCATACTCATTTCTGTGTGTTATTTTGTCGGGAACAACTATCTTTTAGTATAGAATTAACGTAACATTTACCCTATCACATCAAAGGCACTTGATCTCTAAGTGAGCCATACCAGTAAAGAGCACGTTTCTGACATCTTTAGAGGGAAAAAGCTGGCTTCACTTTGACTGGCAAGGCATTGTGGGACCTTCCAATCCAGCAATTTTTTTTTGAACCTCCTTGGTATTAGCGTTGAAATGGACAACAATTTGGACAATCTTTTCTAACTTGAACACATATATGTGGTTTTGTTCGTAGTGAACAGAACAGTGGTGCTGCCTTTGCTGGAGGTATGATCTGGGGCTCATAAGCGACAGCATGAATCAAGCTGAGGGCCTAGTGGCCTATGCGGACAAGTTGGTGAAGTTCGAAGAGCACCTTGCGGTCCCGCAAATAGCTCCGGCCAGATCTGATCTCAGAGGCTTTGAGCACCTGGCTTGCGAGGCAGTAAAGGGACTTCACATGACAATGAGCATTCAGAAAACTTATTCTACCTACTGTTTATATGCAATAATAGGTGAAAATGTCAACATGAAGGTGGTTAACCACAGTTTCACTCCCTCCTGTGAAAGCAGAACCTTGAGCGCAATGTAAAGAGGGCTATCAGCATTGCCACTGCCTCACAGTATAGCTGGAGAATGCCTACATGCACTTAAAAGGCTTTTCAGATAAAAAAAAAATACCGTTTATAAAACAACCAGGCACTTTTGGGGTCGATCGATGCAGCTACAAACACTACTTCTGTTGCGCTGTAAAAACTAATTCAACAAAAATCTGTTGTCGCTCCCTTTACAGTTGTTGTGGATAATTTGCGAAATGGTGGATGAGTTCTACACTGGTTAGACAGTGGTGACTAACCGTTAAGCTCGCTATTTTGCATTTCAGTTATCAAAAAGAAATCTGCTCAGACACTAACAAAAACAGAAGAAAAGAAAGCATGAAACTGAGAATTACCACATTTACTTGCATAATTTGTGCACTTGTTTCCGTGATTTTGGGGCCCCAAGAAGGGGAAAATTAGATGAGGATTTCACGAGCGCTTATGAATATTATTTCAAAAAATAATAAATTGGAGCAGAAACAAAGCGTACACATTAATTTAAAAGAATTAGCATGTACTTTAACCAGTGAGATCCGGTCACGCGCGGCCCAACGGGAATCACTGATCATGACATCCGATTGGGAATAATTGTCGCGGCCACTGCCATCGCCCTCTCAAAGCGCAGCATCCTCGGTTCCGTCAAACGCGTTCGAACGCCCCCTTTTCTTGAAGCCCTTTCGACAATGCTGAGAGAAGCTAGGTCCCACGGCACAGTGATGCCAGAAAAACTAAGCATCCGCACATAATTGAAAAGGCCTCCGTCAAAGGCAAGAAACTTGCATTAGAAAGCATGCAGTCTTCTGCCTTCTTGCATACCGATCGCGCCGGTCGTCAAGTTGAAGCACGTCCCCTTGAAGTGCTTTGCGGCGGCAGGGTTTCAGTTTTCTTCGGTGAAATTTACAACCGTGAGCTTCAATTTCCCCATATATATAATTACTATAGCACATTGGAAGGTTACCATAAAACGTGTTGGCCCGATGGCGAAACCTAAACTTCCGAAATCGACCAAGCATGCGTTGCAGCGCGGAAGCGGAGAACGCGGGGAACAGTTGGCGTGACAGGCCCTCGCATGCCTCTGATGCAGAAATGTCCGTGGTGTGATGAGAGTGGTAGTGGAGATGAGGAGAAAGGGGGAGCCAAAGGCTTGAGCAGTTTCAGTGACCCGTCAAGTCAACAGGTTTGGGTACAGTATTCTCAAGACCCTAGCTCGGGGGAAGTCCTTGAAAGATGGGACTTTGCACTCGCAGCCCGTTTGATTGCGCTCGTCTGCTCAGCGAGGCACGCACCCGGCAGAAGCATAGAAAAATCCAGACTCTTCATGCACATGCGAGCGAGCAGGCTCGGGGAGCGCAAAATATGAGAGTAAATATATATATATTTTTTGCAAACCTTGCAAAATATTAGGGGTGCGCAAATTATGCTAGCAAATATGGTAGTAATGAATCGCCATACTTACATCCCGGTGATACTCCTTATCTTCTAGCACCAGGATGATGGCCTCAATCAGCTCATTGTTGTCACGTATCGTGTTGGCAAACGTGTGAACTTCAGCCTCTGTCACTGACTGCAAAAACAGGATATTTAGGGATGTCACTATGGGTTATTTCAGTCGACCGCTAATCTACTAAAATATTAACTGCAACAAAAAGCATCTGTGATGCATTGGCAATATCGTGAAGTCATGGTCGAAGTACTTCAGAAACAATTTTAGCGAAGGCTGCAGAGCTAGCCATTGGCAGACTTTCTCAGTCAAATCATTCGAATGTCACTTGAACGATGCACGCAGATTAGCAATTATGACATGCAGTTAAGGTGCTTCTCTTCCCAAAAATTTTTAGTATATCATGGGCACCACTTTGGTCTCGGAACACTCCAAGTAATGCGTCGTTTCCAGTGAGAAGTGATGATGGCATACTTTCATATACTCTTTTTTTTTTTTTTGACATCAAGAACACCAACCTTTAAGAGCCTTTTTAGATGCATTCACTTTTATTTAAAGTGTTATATTTTACACGTAGGACACTCCATTTCTGAGGCACCTGAAGCTAGACTATCAAGACGGCAGTAAAGTAAACGGCAATTGACTTTTGAATATTTCACCATGGAATTTGCCTTTCTAAAGGCTGTTACAATTTACACTACACAATATGATTGGAAGATGGCACTAAAATATTAGAAGTGGTTTGTTTCAACTGAAACAAGCCGAATTTAGTGGCCATATGCTCACCTTACAATCGAGAAGGAAATCTCGTACAATGGAGTCCGCCATGAGGCACACATCCTCTTCAGCTGTTGACTTCTAGAATCCTTCTGCATTACATAACCGCAAGAGAAAAATCAGAGCCTTTGAAGTTTTTGAAGCCTAACTTAAATTTCAATGCTTTTACGAATGAGGTCACTATATGACAAGCATTGGTATCTTTTAGACTGCAAATCTTTTTTTTTAGAGAGCAATAATTAGTAGAGGTATGCAATAAGCTAAATTAGCACGAAAATATTCTGAGGCTGGCAATTAAGAAACCTCCTCCCCCCTTCCCTTATCACACAAACATACAAAATTTGGAATAACACAAAGCATTAGCTTCCGAACTTACACTGTCTACATTACGATAGGTATATAAAAAAATAACAAAATGAACATTCTGGCCCTGGTGAGCACATCAACAACAAGAAAGTTTCTGCTTACCCAATTGAAAAATAAATTATCGGGTTTTATATGCCAAAACAATGGTCCAATCAGGAGGCGTGCCATAGTACACAGTTGGGTTTCAGTAGCCGAATAACTGAAAGACTGCGTACTAGTTACGCTGCCTTGGTCTTTACACAGGGATGAAAAATATATATTTTTTTTCAGGGTATGTTTTTCCAGAATTGTGCAGTAACATGTCGGTGAAACAAGCTTTCTGGATCAGCAAAATTTTCAGCAAGCTAGAAACTGATAATCCAACTAGTGCACAGCGGAAAAGAAGGCTACATACAGGTGTTCCATTAGAAAACATCAACTATATTTCGTATCAACGATGGTCCGCTACCGTTTGCACAAGCTGCTGTTCCATCATTCTACATTCAGCACAGCAGCGCTTGGACAGGCTGTGAAATATGTTGCACAATGCAAATACAGCTGCAATAATAGTACATACAGCAAGTCAGCTTTGCCGGATCCAATAGGCAACTTGCAAATTGCCACTTCTATGGTAATAAATATGAAAAGTTGATGGCATACAGAATCCATGCAACGGCTTCAACTATCTCTGGTGAACTCAGCTTTCAACAAGTGTATCGCAAGTGCATGCTTTGTTATAGTTTTTTTATTCTTTCAGGGTGCCGTCATATAAAATCAAACAAAAAAACTTGAGCAGTAATACAGCAGAAGGTAGGCCTCTAAAGTGATACGAAATTGTAACAAATCCCCTACTTATGCTACCGAAATGTTAACCCATTCACACTCGTGCTACTCCCGTACATTGTACAAGTATTTGCAAGTGTGATCACCTTCATCAAGTCTTTCAGCCAAAAGCGCAATCGTGTTGAATAAGTTAATAAAAAAAAAAAACGCCAAAGATCAAGATAAGGGACCGCGGTGTTTTGCATGTTCATAAATGAGAGTGTGCAGCTCGACGAGCGTATTAAGTTAGATAGAAAAAAAAGAATATTTTCTATGGCGGCTGCAAGAAGTGACAGGTAAAGGTAGCGGACGTAGACCTCATTCACCGATGTTCACGTATCGATCGCGTAAATGCAATTAGCGTAATTACTCGATGCCAAGTGCACGCGACCTTCAGACCTGACACCCCACCCTCGAAAGCCAAAGGATAGTGCTATCGTATATCTAGCGTGAGCAATACAGGCAGCGACATCCTGCCGCTCTTCAACGGTTTCGCAGAGTGAGCCGGTAGGATATTGTTTCCACATGACTGACAAGTAAGAAAGAAAAGGGGAAAAGAAAATCGGTTCGACGAACCATAGTCGCTGACGAGGAAATGCTAGGCCACCAACAGGTGTTCGTTTATGAAGGACAAGCACGATACTTCAGCGCTAATAAGACGTAAACAAGCTACACTTGTGCAGTTGCTCATGACAGCCTGTACACAGGCGCTCAACGCCAAGAAGAGCTGTGACAGGTGCCTCCTACAAACGTATCACGCGATGCTAGATGGGTCCATAGCTTGAGAAAAGGAACCGATAACTGGAACTCTTCCGGTATTCGAGACCCAAGCAGGGTCACGGCAGAGCCTACTCCTACAATTTTGACGCGGTTGAGAATTCAGGGGAACGTATAATTAAAGAGGCTGGTTTCATTTTCACTCACCCGTGTATGCAGGGGCCAGCGTCGCTGGAAGGCCTAGTACCGCAATAAACTTTGCCCCGAGCAGCACGTCGCTTGATCTCAGTTGCTTTGGGTGCGTTGTATCAGTGTCGACCTGGCGGTCAGACCAATTTTGGTTTCGGTAAACTGCTATAATGTATTCGCCGGGACCTTGTAAGCGGGTATCCCCAGTGCACGGCCACTATCTAACGGGGTGTGTAGGCCACTGGCGCGCCGCCAGCCCCTGGCTCCATCTGGCTTTCATAGAAGAAATTATTGACAAACAAGAGGGCGCTAGCAGTCAGCGCTGCGGTAGCGCTGCGGTATGCCCTGTAATTTCGGTTTCTTTTACGAGCACGCGAGCGCAATGTACCGCATAATCTATGAAGCAAACAAAATCTAAATATTTGATAGAAAGCACTGATCATAGTGACTGCGCTGTGAATCACCATACGACAAAACGGTGAACGAAATGGTCCACGGAAGGAGGCAGCTTCCAAAATAAGCTTTTACAAGTCATGAAGCGTGGAAGCTTGGGCAAGTTGGTAGGGCATAACTGAATGCAGGAACAGCGCAACCTAGAAGTAGTTACTTCGTAACTAAGGAAGCGAAAAAAAAAACAAGGACAGAAAAGAGCGCTGATTTTCGCCTATATATGTACACCACTCCGATATTAAATTTTTGTTGAAAGTCAGCACTCTTTTCTGTCCTTGCTTTTTTCGCTTCCGTGGTTACGAAGTAACTACTTCTAGGTTGCGCTGTTCCTGCATTCAGTTATTTACAAGTCATCAGCACCCGCGACACACTCACGTGAACACCAACTAGCCCAAGCTGCCACACCGCTAAAACCAATGCGAGCATCCACAAAACAAAAGAAAAAGAAAGAACTAAAAATGAAAGAAAGAAAGAGAGAAATATATATTGTGAGCGCTGACTATGTACCTCATCTTCATCTGTATGACCAAACCATTGTAGTGACAACGCCTCCTAGATTTCCCGTGCCTGCCGGATTATCGGCGGTCACTTGGGAAGCGGCGGTCGTCGGAACTGCGGTGGTGGCGCCACTCAAGTAGGGGTGTCTTCAAGTAGGTTTTTACGTTTTTGAAGCCTATATGAAACAAAAATAACGTAAAAAAGTATTTAAAAGGCGTAAACGTAAGTATAAATAAATCTACGTAAATGACGCCATCATTCAGCTAGCAACTTTTTTTAAATACAAGGCATCCTCTAAAATTAGTAGCAAACGCCAAAAGGGCTGATCTCAAAGGCCAAGTACAAAGACCCTTATTTCTACGTAGGCAGTACCGCCATAGATGACCGGCGTTTAGCGCTCATCCGGCAGGCACAGGAAATCTAGGAGGCGTTGGTAGTGATCATCATCGTATGTCACGCGGCCTGGGCCTCTTTGGCTCGTACATCTGGATTGAAATTATAATCTGGTTACTGCCGTGCCGTACGTGGTCCCATAAGTGGTGGAGGTGCGCGGAATATATATTCTCGTAGGCTAAATTATCAGTATACCAGCAAGCACCTAAAATCATCGGGGATTAAAGTTAGTCATCTATTTTTTTTATTTTACTGATAAAAGCCCCCCCCCCCCTTTTTTTTTTTTCCCGTACCATTTCCAGCATCCGAAATTGTAAAACTGCCCCGCCACGGTGGACTAGTGCAAGGCACTCGAATGCGAATCCACAGGTGGCGAGTCGAATCCCGGCTGCGGCGGCTGCATTCAATGAAGGCGAAAATGCTGTAGGCCCGTGTGCTCAGATTGCACGTTAAAGTGTGTGCACGTTAAAGTGGGTGCACGTTAAAGTGTGTTTAAGAACCCCAGGTGGCCGAAATTTCCAGAGCCCTCCATATGGCGTCTATCACAGTCATATGGTAGTTTTGGAACGTTAAACCCCATGTATCAATCAAAATTGTATATCATTGAAGCTCCGTTTTAAAGGCACTTGTAGTTTTTTTTTTTTATGAATGTTCATGGTCAGTTCACCGACCATGCAGTTACCTGACTAAGAAATCACATATCTACAAGATTAACGCCTTGAATGGCCTGTTACGTCTATTGATCATTTTTATCATGTTTATAACGTGTCTTCGCTTGTCTTGTTCTGCCTATATATTTCGCGTTCGGACAATAACACCGTGTAGAAAATATGATAATATCTTGGGCTCTACGTCCCAAACCAAGATATGATTATGAGAGACGCCGTAGTGGAGGGCTCCAAAAATTTTGACTTGTCAATTCGTGTTAATGGAGCGGGTATGGTGGCTGGTTAAACGGTCAGTTTTAGCGTATTATCTTCGACACGGCTGTAAGTATTCACATAAAATTTTACTTGCTCACAAAAAATACCACTGGGTATCAAGCGACACCCTTTTTTAAGCCTAGGTTGCTTATCCTTCCTATGGCACACTCCGAATTTTTAAATGGGGTTCGTTTAACCAATGAACATTTTTTCTGCAACTGCCGAAAGGAATGTAACCATACTTAGCTGTGTTGTTGTAGAGACTGATAGGTTACATCTCAGCTTTAAAACTATTGGATTTTTCATGAAGTTTTGTTAGAAGTGAATACTGCTTGCACAACGCACGGAGGGTGTGTATTGTTGCGTAATTTTTTTACAGCTTCACTTTTTCATTTTGTTTCTAACTTGCTGCAGTACACGCATACAAAGTTTCATCGATATCAAAGCAATGCTTTTTGAGAACAGGAACATTGGAGTTACAAAAATGTACAGAAAGGGCAGTTTGAGAAAAATTGGCAGATCCCACGTACAGGGGAAGCGATGATATGCGAAGCATGAATGAGAAATGTTGATATGCCATTTTAAAATAGGGACAACATTACGAGGTGGAGCTAAATGATGCTGTACATGACTTCCGTGTCATGATTATAATGTTTTTATGTGTCGATCGTTTACCTTCGTCATCTATTCATGTCACGTGATACCAAATTTAGTATATGTGGAGCTAGCAAAACGGCCGCGAGCACGCTATGAGCGTGGTATGTTGTCATCTTCTTACATGACACGCGTGTCTGGGTTATCATGTTTGCACCAGTCCTATATTTCGTCATCCATTGACGTCACATAACACCAAATTTGGTATATGTGGAGCTAGCAAAAAGGCCGCGGGCGCATCATGAAAGGCCCAATATACTCTATGTAGCGTTGACGCTCGAGCACACTGGGCACAGCGACGCTACGTTAGCAAAACGCGAGCACTCTTTAGTCTGACGCCACGCGCGACTAGCGTCCGTCGGCGCGGCCCGACGGCGACCGGCGCGAAATGTGACATGCTGCATTTCACGCCGATGCCACAAAGTAACATCACTCTATGCCGATGCGTTACCCCGACAACACTGCGTCTCCCTCTTTTCGTGACAGAGGGATGCCGGACGCGCTGAAACGCACTCTACCTCCTCGCCCTGCGGTGCCTTCAAGGCATAGGCCAGGTGCCTGTTTGCGTGGGGCGTTCCTGTTACCATTGAACTGTTTTGCCCAGCCGAGTGGTGCAATATCTGCACCCTTTCCGGTGGGTGGACCACTAAGACTTCAGCCCCTGCTGTTAGGCAGGGGTGATCAGCGCCTTCTTCGGACGGCGGTGACGGTGGGCTATAAAAGCCGAAGCATCTTTGTAAATAGAGCTGAATCTTGCTGAATCATGAGCTGAACCTCTGTTGTACATATTGAGGGATATTCTGGATCCCTGTACAGTTCCTCTCCTTCTTCAATAGTGTAAGTAAATCTTTCGTTCTATCTTACGAACGCGTCTCCTCACTGGCGAAGATCGCCTATGCGGACGACGGCGGGGTTGATTGATTTGTGGGGTTTAACGTCCCAAAACCACCATATGATTATGAGAGACGCCGTAGTGGAGGGCTTGAACTGGTATAGCGCATTACGGGGAAGAAGAAACGGCGCTATACCAGTTCAAGTACGACGAACCAACTCGCCCAATCTTCAACACTCGTGGTAGTGGAGGGCCCCGGAAATTTCGACCACCTGGGTTTCTTTAACGTGCACCCAAATCTGAGCACACGGGCCTACAACATTTCCGCCTCCATCGGAAATGCAGCCGCCACAGCCGGGATTCGAACCCGCGACCTGCGGGTCAGCAGCCGAGTACCTTAGCCACTAGACCACCGTGGCGGGGCGACGGCGGGGTGCCAGCTACCCTAAAGAGATACCCGCCGTTCCTGCCATCATCAACTTCCTACCCTTTACAATGTGAAGCTAGCGAAACGGCCGCGAGCGCATCATGAGCGTAGCATGTAGTCATGTTGTTAGATGGCACGCATCTCATGTTTATCATGTTTGCACCAGTATCATACCTTCGTCATTCATTCACGTCCCGTAGTACCAAAATTTGTATAAGTGAGGCTAGCAAAACGGCTGCCAGTGCATCATAGGAGCGTGACATGTAGTCATGTTGTTACATGACACGCATCTCATTATTATCATGTTTCCACCAGTATCATACCTTCGTCATCCATTCACGTACTGTAATACCTAATTTGGTATATGTGACGCTAGCGCATCATGAGCATGGCCTGTAGTCTTGTTGTTACATGACACGCATGTCATGATTTTCATGTTAGAGTATGTCGCTTGTGTTGGCCATGCAATCATGCCATACCATACCAGTTTTGCAACATGCCATGTGAACAAAACCACCGCAAGAGCTGCACGACCATGAAATGTAAATCATGACATTCATGACATACATGTCATGTTTTTCATGTTATGACTAGTCAAATATGTTCTTCATAAAGTCATTTTATGACATACCAAGTTTGGTATCAATACCGTTATTGAAACGGCCAGGAAAGCTATAAGTCGTAGGCGGATAGATAGATAGATAGATAGATAGATAGATAGATAGATAGATAGATAGATAGATAGATAGATAGATAGATAGATAGATAGATAGATAGATAGATAGATAGATAGATAGATAGATAGATAGATAGATACGTTCAAAGTCGCCGAAGCTCGCTATGAAATGCTTCGCGTTTAATACTTCGCATTTAAAAGCGAAGTTACACGTGCGCATACTGCTTACGCCAGATGGCGCGGCACACTTCAGCGCTATAGAGTTACCGTATATGTTACCTTTAGGTAGCATATACAGTAACTCTATTCAGCGCTGCATTCAAACCGCTTGGAGGGGCCACTCGACGTCGGGCGTCCACAGGTTTATTCCTCAGAGTACAGTGAAAGTTTTGGTGTCAAAATCACAAATTAAGTTTTTTAGGCGGTTTACTCTACGATATCCCTTTGACGTGCACTGACATCACACTGTGAAAGGGCCTCTGCCATTTTGCCTTTATTGAAATGCGACCGCCCCCACCGGAATCGAACCCGCGACCTTCAGGTCACCATCCGAACACCGTAGCGACTGATTTACCATGACCTGCATCCAGTTGTAAATCAGCGCCTGTATTGTCTCATCTGTGTTCGGTTTCTGCGCTGTTTGGAATAAATATATGCGTGCGTTCCAACAAGCTCAATCGCTTAACAACCATTTTGAAAATCGTGGTGTTTCCGTGTCATTTTTAAAGCCTCTCTGATAAAACCATAACGAAGTTTTATTTAGTGGAGAAATCGGGGCGGTGAAATTAACTCTTAATAAAAGGCAAAGAAAGTATTGCTGTCCCTATTATATTTTGAAGCGCCATCTACTGAGGATCCCAAGAAAGCGCACTGCCGAGTCAGCTTCGCTTGCGGCCTCTAGAGGGCCGTAGGCACAAAGGCTTCCTCGGAACATCCGGCGGGCATTTTTTGTTCACTGTTTCATTGATCATGCATGAGGGGCCATGCGTGTGAACCGGCTGCAACACCAGCTCCCCCGGCCTATTTAGCTGCCGGCAGGCAGTCGCTGTAGACTCATTTCTTCGTTGCGGCTTTTGAGAAACGTGACTGATAACTGCCGTCGACTCGCTGAGCAGCGCAGCGTTATTTCGGATCAGGCGCTAAGTGTCGTCCATTGCGCGTCGTCTGCTACTGTTTTGCCGCACGCGCCGAGTGTGTATAGCCGCCGCTATTAGTTCACTTGTGTGATCCGAAAGGAAAAGAAAAGAACAGGCGGCGCAAGAAAACATGGGCGTCACGGTAGATCCGGCGTTTCAAGGAGTCGGTGTGCAGCCTGGCCTGACAATCTGGAGGATCGAGGTACGTGCATTGTCTTGAGCGGCAGGAATTACTTGATTTGAGCTTTACACTGCACAGTGATGCTCGAGAATATAATGTTGACAGCGGGAGACTTTTACATGGCGCTGTATAGCGATGGATTTTTAAAAATATGTATTGGAATTTAATTATCAGTGAGGATATATCAATTAATGGATCATATTTGCTTGAATGAAGTGAATCAACATAATGATTGAACATTTTATAGCGGATCGAGGTACATTGAGCGAGTATCTGAGCAATCTCATGAGAGGCAGGAATTTCACCAGGCCCAACTTCAGCTTTCCACGGTCATTGATAGTCAGTAATATATTATGTACGTACCTAAGTAGATAATGGAAGAGCCTTACGTGGTCATTTGTTTACAACTGCATGGAAGAATTAAGTTATGAGTTAGGTGCAGTATCTTATTTAGGTTGGATATGGAACTAATTTAGAAAACGATGTTATGTTACCAAATAACCATGTATACTTATGATGTCTTAGCTGGGATGATTAGGAGCAATCAACTTGAATCAAGCTGCTCGTGCTTGTTAATTCTTGCTGTCTTGGTACTCCGCCAATTGCATCATCTCGTGAATATCGTTCTGTGTCGAGCTTGTGTACCTAATTGTTTTTGTCTATTTATAAACGATAATGTAGACTAAAATTTGCGGCTACATAGTCGGGCTCAAAGCGTTATTTACTGAAAGACGTATGGGATTCACAACGTAAAAGAAAAAAAAAATACTGGGATGTTTCTATTTTTTTCTTTTGTATTGTATTTCTTGGTTTCTCTTTATGTTCTCTCTGAACTTTTTTTTCATCTCTCTGAACAAGGCGCGGTTCTTGCAACAGTCCAGCTTCGTGCTCGTATTCAAAATCAAAAGTGCCCACTGAAGCTTTTACGCGCCGTAAATAACACCCTGCCAGCACGCAAAAGGCGTTCATTTGGTTTTAAAAAGGCGCTTTTGCGACACTTACGCCCCGCGAAGCATCTGTACGGAATGTCAACCTCTCCATCACAATATATTGTCGCATAAAATGCTGTTTTGTGTACCATACGACGCGACGTCCGTCGCAGGATAAGAGTTCTACGTCTACTTATCAGCCTCAAAAAAAAAAAAAAAGCCGCTATGCAGCTTGTCACGGAATTGACACTTGAAATTTACAGTGCAGTCGAGCAAGGATATATAGAACTCGTACATAGTGAATTATTGCATGTATCGAACAATTGTAACACCCCCTTGAATGTATTTTCGATGTGTATAATATCCAACTGCCTCTAAAAAATCCTTTGTGTGTGTGTGTGTGTGTGTGTGTGGGGGGGGGGGTGATCCCCTTCATATGAGATATATCCGGGTTTTACTCTATATGCGTTAGTTATTACAAGTAGCAAAGATGACAGTTCGGTATCTTAGCAACAGTGGTCGGAAATAGGAATGTAAGAGTTGTACAAGCAAATGGTCCGCCGCGGTGGTGTGTGTAGCTGCTATAGGGTGCTCGGCTGCTGATCCGAAGGGTTTGATCCCGGACTTTAGGTGGAGGCGAAATGGTGGAGCCCCTCGTACTGTGCGAGGACGTTAAACAACACTAGATGATCGAAACTATCAGAACCCTTCACTACGGCATCCCCTGTGGTACTGCGGCGTAAAACACCACGCATTCTTATTACACAAGCAAACGCAGAGGTGTATTGTGAGCCGCGGTCACTGAACGCCTCCCTTTCTATACTCTCGCTAAGTGGTATTTACAATTACGTATGCTTGGCAGGTAAAATAGACCACTTGTGCTCTCATCACCGCTGACACCACTGATTGGAGTGACAGATGCGGTAGGATGAAATATGCTGATTGAGCGTGTCACGTTTTTCAAGCCGTTCCAAGAACAGTGAAAATATCCTCTATCTGAGGCTATTATTATTGAAGGCGCGAAAGTAATGAGAATATCGGTATACGGGAATGCGACAATATCGCCATAGGACAACACCGTGGCGAATACACTTCAAGTTCCATTTAGTTTGTCGGTTCACTATCGTATTTAGGCATACCGTAGTCAATCTCTACATAACTGTTCGCGGAAATATTTGCCTAACACTTGTTTAATGTTCTCTGGCTTCTTTGTGGCGTCTTCTCGCAGCTAGGATGTGGCTCCGCAATGTCAACGTAGACAGTAATACTCTCGCAGAGAAAGCACAAAGATAAATCGAAACGCGCGAATGGTCTGGTATAAAACGAATTTTCGCAGAAAGGTACCGATCAAGAAATAAGTAAATTCAAAATGCTTGAAAGGAGTTGATTGGCAAGATGGCCTAATTCGCTCAATATTATGGCATGGTGTGTATACCTTTTGTTCTTCCAGCTGTATACAGAAAATATAACTTCGGTTACGACTTTCTCTCTCAAATAGGCTGTTTAATGTTTCCTTTCTTTGAAGGCTATGCAGGAAGCGAGAGAAAAAAAGAGAAAGAATAACGAGCAGAGAGCGCCTCACGCAGCTGTGAATACTAATACGGAATTCATGGTGTGGAATGAACTCAAATAAACCAAACGAAAAGAAAAATAGCTTTTCGTGTTGTTGTGTTTTCAGTCTAAAATGTACGAAGAGTTGATAAATTTCAAAAAATGTGAAAAAATTTAATACTTATTGATATAACTTAGTTCATTACAACAGCCATCAGCAGCCTTCGATGCCTGCCTCGGCAACATTAGTACCTTCTGAGTAGGCAGGAGTACATCAAGATGAACAGTGAGGCATGCAAATCTATTATTCTTTCATTGAAATAATAATAATATATTATTATATTATTGAAATAATAATAATAAATGAAGGAGGAGTGGTAAAATTGCCTGTCAACAGATACACATCTTGATTCCATTTGCAAAAAAAAAAAAAAATTAAGGCAGCGAAGTAAGTCTCGTGTTTCGTAAGCATTTTGAAATTTCTTGGTTTAGCCACATCACCACGAACGTCATGGTTAAAAAAATGTTGATTGAAGGACCCTCATTGCTTTGCGACGCACTTTCGATATAATGGGCCTAATAGACCAACGTGTGAAAACGTGTGCAAATAGGGGTCCTGTGTGAGTTTATATGGGATGTATTTGCACGGATTTAGGGAGTCGCGCAGCGGGTACACATCAGACATCATCGTAGGCGCAGCAGATTACAGGTGCAGAACTTGCTATTGAAATGCTGCAGCACTTCGATGGCACAGCATAGTTTGGTACGGAGCCTCATGCAGGGACGCGGGTACTCAACGCAGTTAGAAGGAATACGTTCACCTTGACCGTGGCGCAGAGCGCTTTGATGGGGCTTCACGCTTTCCTCAAAGCGAATCTCCAGGCGCGGTGTGAAAAGGTCAAATGAGATTACGCCTGTATTGCAGAATGACCATTTTTTCTTATTTTGTCCCATATGTCTCATCAGCGTTTTCCTAGATACCTGTCCTGTGAGCTTTTAAACGGAACGACGCTTATCGCAATGCTCTGAATAAAATATTCGCAACGTCTTGACGATCGCATTGAAAACGGCAACTCCTCTGCACCACCTATCGTACGTTGTGAGTCGCATCTAGCGATAACTCTTTATCAGTATTACCTCATTCCTGGCAAACACTGGGGATGGGTCGGAATATCGCCATATTTCGTTCCGCGTTGCCTCCGTGTGTCTCTTCGGGTATCCTTTTTAAGCAATTCATCTGTAATGAAGACCAAGTCGAGGCTAACGGGAATGCTAAATACTCGAGGCGGTACGCAACGAGCACTATATTAAAAGCTGAAATTCACTCCTTGCCCGTGGCGACTATTGCCTTCATGCAGAATACGTTCATAGTTACGAATGACAGGAACTGCCAATGAATGCTTTGATGTACAGGATGTGTGCCAAAAGTTCCCGGAACTTTTCTTAGTAGTCGGCAGTGCCACCTTGCGGGCGGCACTTCACGTGCAAAAGTTAGTAGTGGATATAAACTAATTTGAAACGAGTCTAATATAGGTTGCCTGCGAGCAGTTGTTAAAGCTGGTAGAGCCGTTTCGCGGAGGTATATACTGCATCCTCGTCGAAAAAAAAAAAACAACAACAACAAATGGACGAGATTTGGCAGCAGTATCATGTAATCAACTTTGGTGTGAAACTTGAATAAAAGCATAGCAGAGACATTCAAAATGCCTCAGGAAGCCCACAGTGACGTCACAAACAAATAAATACGCACTTCCATGTAGAACAGGAGGTTCTGGGAAGTATGATGTCTGTGGACGACGACGAACACTTTGGAGGGCCATCGAAATTACAAATGGACGACTCGGGGCAGGGACTGGGTCAAGTACTAGATCGGCATTAAGGGTTCGGATGATTGCGGAGGAGCGTGGGATAATGAAAAAAATCGTTCGTTATGTCTTGACGTATGGTCGACTTATGAGGAAAGTTCGCGATACCAAAAGCCGTGACGAAAGGAAGGGGGACGCCGTGCTGATTATCTCCGAGCTGCAGGCCAATATGGGTGTGGAAAAGCTGCTCTCCACGGCCTCGATCTGGAACCACTAGACATTTTCGGTCCCCAGTGATTAAACGAACCCTGAAAAGAACTCTACACGGGACGCTGAATCCTCGACGATCTACTTGAAGGAGGTTCTCGTTGATGATTGGGTGAAGCCTTGGCAACGGTAGAATAAACCAGGGAAAGAGTACTTTGAGAAGTTCTGAAAAGATTGCAAACTGATAATGAATAAATTATTTTAAAAATTCGGCAGATCCCATGTACCTGGGAATCGACGTTATGCGAAGCATGCGGAAGGAAGGTGACCATGTTGCAATTTTTTTATTGAGCGACACGCCAAGAAATGACGCTAAATATTTATGCAAACGTTGCACGCACATAATTAAGTTGAATAGTTGCAGACGTTTATATAAACAGTTGTTTGCAGTTGCACAACGATGCCTACTGGAACATGCGTATTGACAACACCAGAAGCTGATATAAAGCACTGATGCTCGCGAGGATGC